ACGTATGCATGCTAACTATAGCGTGAGTGTGACGTCACCAAAAAATAAAAATTATCTATTATAACCAAAATATTAATAACTACAAGGTTTGTGGGCGTAAATTCCCTTAATACGAATTAAGGGGAGCACCATCTCCTTGCCATACAAATTACAGCTCCAATTGACGTCTTGAGTTTTGTGCTTCGCACACGCCGCTGAGGGCGGTATTCCGGGAAGCCTGCGTCGAGCCTTGGAACCCCTTTTTATTATAATTGTAGAATATATATATTTTAGAAATGAATAATGATTAGATTAAAGTATTTTTGAAGGTTTGAATGGCAAGGTAATAACATATATGCCTATGTTTAAGCTAATAAGGATTAGGCTATGATTACACTATGATCACAAAAAAAAAACTGCATAGGTCTGGGCCTTTTTTTTCTTTGTTTTTCAAAATTCACTCAGTCACAGGTAATTGTACGAAATGAAGTGTGTTTACTTGACGTTTAAAATGCACAAGTACAATATATAGGTACAGATAGGCCTACGTAATTCATGAAAAACGATGACAATAATTAAATAATGGTGACGATAGGCCTAATGATGATGATGACTACGAATAAACTGGCCTATAATTTACATAGTTGATTTCTCGTAACCAGTGGGACTTGTTTTCTGTTATACTGGCATCACCCCATCTTAAAAAGATACTGAACCTACTGGAGCGTTGCTTATCTCGCATCGCAGGTATCAAAACCGCTCTGAAAATTAATATTCATGATTTTATTGCCGAATCTTATAGCGCCACCAATCGACACTGCCTCAAACGTCCAGGAAAAAAATTTAGTAGGTAGTTGACGCTATTCCTAGTGATCAAATGAGCACCCCTCCCCCCGCCCGGAAACCAATATATTGATTTGTAGACCGTGTTATTTTTTGAAAGTTTTTAACATTATTTTCCCGCCTAATCTTACATTTTTTTAATTTTGTAAATACTTAATTATTATATTTCAATTATATATATAGATTTATATTAAAGGAGAGTATTAACATGCCTTGGAATTCGTATTCTTTTAATATTAATTTCGTGTCTACGTGTATTGTAACGTCATTTTATTGCCTAAATTGAATACATCAAATCAAATCAAAACAATATTGTAAACAAATTATTTTGTAGAAACTACTGGACGTCTAAACAGTTTAATGAGTCTGATAATTACGATTTCAACACTAGTTATTCAGCAATCAAGAAAGCGTAAGTAGAATTTTAAACATAGAGAGATCTTTATTTTAGAACCCTTTTGCGTAAACGGAGAAAAACGTAGTAAACCTGTGTAATTTTATAACACTTATGGCGCTTCATTATTACCATCGATATATTGGCATAATATTTAGAATTGAAAAAGGGTTCAAAAGTCGCTTATATTCTTCATATATAAACGTAGTTAGATCAATTGAAAGTGTACAAGTTTCCTAGCTAAGAAATTTATGTATTAACTAGAGGGCACTCGGAGAGTGCATACTGTACCTCCGCCCAAATTATGATTCTCCTCAGTATAAATTTCCCCCGCATTATTGTCCCCATTAAAAAAAATAAAAGAACAAGTAGTTTCAATGGAATTAGAACCCGGAGCTGGTAGTGTGGAAAACACTCTTATAACCACTACACCAAACTGTTTTCACATAATTATATTACTTTGAAATTAATGGTCATATGTTTGTTTACACTTTACAGACAAGCCCACCTCACACACACACACACACACACCCACCCACACACGTCCATATATCAGACAGTTATACTTAACTTAAGTAGTTTTTCGATCATTGTGTCCTTTTTGTCCTTCTTTGACCTTGAACCTTAAAAATTTAGTCACTTCCAGATCTTTGGTTAAGGAACATAGTGGCCAAGTTTCTCATAAAAACTGTTTCAGAAAATCGTTGATTGTTGATTGTGGCCTTGACCTATCCTTCAACATTCAAATACTTTGAGATCTTTGGTCATGGAACATTGTGACCAAGTTTGACAAGTTCGTGACTATCTATCGGCTGAAGACAAATAAATAAAAAAATAGTTTGTCGTTGATTGTGACCTTGACCTTTGACCCTGACCCTTCAAAATCTTATCAGATCTAGATCTTAGGAGAAGGAACATTTTAGCCAAATTTGACGAATTTCCAATAAAAACTATGGGCTGTAGGCTGCTCACAACAAGTATGCCGACAGGCAAATAAATAAATAAATAAGTAAGTAAGTAAATAACATTATAAGCAAGGTCTAAAACATAACCTCCTGCCAACTTCGTTGGCGGAGGTAATGAGATCTTTGGTCTTGGAACATTGTGACCATGTTTGACAAGTTTGTAAAACTATGGACTGTAGACAATAAATAAAAAAATAGTTTTTCGTTGAGTGTGAACATGAGCTTAGACCACATGTGGACAAAGTGCGGGCCGACGGCTATGTTTCATGGCTGGCTGAAACCGATCATATGTAAACAGTAACATTAAACATTAAACTCAGAATAAAGTGGTTTAAATGCAGTGCTTGGAGGTTTTGGAAGGTCACTTGAAACTTCAAAGTTTGGGTGCGCACTCAGTGTTAAATCGAATATTAAATTTGGCCCTTCGACCGATTTTTATGCCAGGGGTGGCGCCAGGATTTGCCCGACGGTGGGCAGAGGTTCTCGACCAGATTTCCCCGATGAAAGCAAAGTGGGCGTGGTCTACCTTCGATTAAAAGGTTTCGAATGTGGTCGTAAATTTTGATAATTTAGCGATTTCAAAGGCTTATTTAATCGATTTTATAGTCTACTGATATGTAGAAAATACATATAATTTTTTTTCTTCCTGACGAATTGTGCTGACGGGGGGGGGGGAGGGGCCCTGGCCTCCACTGGCGCCACCACTGTTTTATGCCCACCCCTGCTTTAGACCATGACCCTTCAAAATGTAATCAGCTCTAGATCTTAGGTAAAGGAACATTGTCGCCAAGTTTGATTAATTTTTGATAAAAACTATGGGCTGTAGGCTGTTCACAACAAATATGCCGACAGAAAAATAAATAAACAGGGGCAAAAACATAACCTCCTGCCAACTTCATTGGTGGAGGTAATAACGTTAATACGATTAAAAAGTTGCAGTTTACAACGGTAATTGTTGACCTATTATAATTGTATAAGTAACATTGTTGCAACGTTTTGTTGCGTTTGCTAGCTGGGCTATGACCACTGGCACGAGATGAAAATGATGATACTAGATAAAGTAATGGTACCACAGAAGTTTATGATTGCTGATTCGCTATGCAATAATTGATTATGGATATTCTATTATGAGATTGTGCTCTTTGAGACGTCTGCTTCCACACAAACTTGCATAATTGTTTTACGACATTCGTTATTAGATACTGAAGCCCTGCTGTAGCAAATCCAGCATGCGTGGTTGGGGAAGAAAACGAGTGGACAGAGACCCTCACTCTCCCAAAGCACTGCAGCAGCGAAATAAATCACTAAACCCAAATAAATAAATCACTAAAATAGTTTTACTAGTGATCAAATGAGCTTACTGAGGGTGTAACACTTAGCAACCAATACCCCCTCCCGTCCCCCGGCCCCTGGGGTTCACTTGCATACCAACCTTACGGGGGTTTGCAGCAGCCATTCCAAGACATGAGACACTTGCGCTACCTATTCTCCTGAAAATAATTAGGGACTTGAACTACCATTTACCAAAATCCAGTATCGGTTGAACTACTATTACGACCATGTAACCTAACAAATTAAACTTGTTCTGGTTCCCGATGGCGAATAAGACCGTAGTTATGTCCGTTCGCGATCTCTACTGTAGGTTTGGCACAGATTTAGAAAAAAAATCGTGTGAAAAATTATACTGCTTTGATGATACGGGACGGGGCAGGACACTTTAACTACCAATTTTACCTGGTATTTCCCACACTTGTGCTACCACGTCCTCACAAATATACCCTATACATGCTGAAACTCTTCCATAAATTCCTACACTAGTGCTACCAAGTCCTCAAAAATACCCCCGTAAATGCGGTACCTACCCGTATAGAAATAATTAAGAGTGAGCCTCCGGGCCCCCGGCCCGGATTGTTTGCTAGACCGTGTTATTTTTGGAAAGTTTTGAACATTATTTTCCTTCCCGCCTAATCTTATAATTTATTTAATTTTGATTTGGTAAATACTTAATTATTATATTTTAATTATTGATATAGATTTAAGTTAAATTCTGTTAAAGGAGAGTATTTAACAGTGATTCAGTTTGCCTTTGACAATCCTTGGAATTCGTATTCTTTTAATATTCATTTCGTATCTATGTGTAT